GGTTTCTGTTCAAAAATTTATCCAAACCTTGCACTGTCATCTCTTTTTTTAATCTAACACTTGTGTTATTTTACAGCAAACCTCCAAAAGGATGATTGGTTCGGCTACCTTGCACCAAAGATTATATGTGTTAAATCTCTCACCCTTATTCTAATCATCATCATGTTTCATCTCATATCACTACTACCAAACCCAAAGATGCTTCTCTTTGGTAACATAGATTATGTCATGTCTCTGACTCTATTTTTTGTATTATTTTCTGATAATATCATTTTATCCTTTATTCTGTAAATCTCTCTCCTTGTGACATTTATTATTTTGCTAAACAACGCAAATTGCTTCATTATAGTAGTGAAACACACTCACATAAAATTTTTGACATTATTCATGGAGACATATGACGACTATATTTTATATCTTCTAATTGTGATTACAAATATTTTCTCACTTTAATTGATGATTACTCATATTTTACCTGAATTAAATTTATGAAATCCAAATCTGAAACACGCACGCATTTAATACATGTCATTTTATTGATTGAAACTCAATTTCATATTAAACTTAAATGTTTTCGAAGTAACAATGAAGTAGAATTTTTATTAACTAGTTTTTTTTTCATCCAAAAGTATTTTTCATCAAAAAACTTGTACTGAAACACCTCAACAAAATGATGTTGTTAAACGCAAACATCAACATCTTTTAAATGTAGCTCGACCATTATTTTATCAAGCTCAACTACCTCACATCTTAATTATAGACTACCTACTCCGTTATTGCATTTTAAATGTCCTTATGCAGTGTTATATGATAAACCACCTAGCATGATCCATTTACAGGTTTTTGGTTGTCTTGCTTATGCCACTACGTTTCAAATCACAAAACTAAATTTTAGCCCTGTGCCAGCAAAGCTGTTTTCTTGGGATATAAGGAAGGTACTAAAGATTATATTTTGTATGATCTCCATACCCATCAAATTTTTCTTTTAAGAAATGTCATTCTTTATGAAACTATGTTTCCTTTTCATTTCTCCACCACTCCTTTCTCAACTTCTTCTATTTTTCCTCTATTATTCAATATACTCTCCTGCAAATACATTATCCTTGCCTGAGCCTATTTATCACCCTCCTGCTATAGACATTCCATCTATATCCTTTCCTGTAAATACCTTATCCTTGTCCGAGCTTATTCATCACCCTTCTGCTACAGACATTCCATTTATATCCTCTCCTGCAAATATCTTATCCTTGTCCAAGCCTATTCATTATCCTCCTGTTATAGACATTCCATTTACTATAAATTCTAACCAAAACCTTAGTTCTCCTGCCCTGCCTTCTCCACATATTAGACATTCCACCCGATCTCGCAAATCACCCTCTTACCTAACAGATTTTCATTATTATTCCACTGTTGCTTCTAGCAGTTCCACACATTCTCTTAAGAGTACTTATTTGCATCCCTTATCCTCAGTTCTTGATTATTCTAAATGCAATTCCTCTTATAAAAAATTTTGTTTTGTTGTTACTAACATTTCTGAACCTATAACTTTCTCCCAAGCATCTAAATTGTATTGTTGGCAAAAGACTATGAATGTTAAGTTACAGGATTTACAGCAAAATAATACCTGGTCTATTGTTGATCTCCCACAAGGAAAGAGTCTCATTGGCTGTAAATGAGTTTATAAGGTTAAATATCATACAGATGGCACTGTTGATAGATATAAAGCCTGTTTAATGGCCAAGGGCTATACTCAGTTAGAGGGAGTGGATTATTTTAACACATTCTCCCCAGTTGTCAAGATCACCACTGTTTGCTTTCTTCTAGCTATAGCAACAGTTAAAGAGTGGTTTCTACATCTGCTTGATGTGAATAATGTCTTTCTTCATAGAGAGTTTCATGAGGAAGTCTATATGGTCCCTCCACCTGGTTTGCTTCCACTGTGTTCTTCTCAGGTTTGTAAACTTAACAAGTCGTTGTATGGACTCAAGCAAGCCAGCAGGCAATGACACAGTAGTTTCTTTCACAACTTTATTAGTTTACGTAGATGACATTGTCTTAGCTGATGTTGATATGGACAAAATTAATTCTGTCAAATGTGTCTCAGATACTAAATTCCACCTGGTTTGCTTCCACTGTGTTCTTCTCAGGTTTGTAAACTTAACAAGTCGTTGTATGGACTCAAGCAAGCCAGCAGGCAATGGCACAGTAGTTTCTTTCACAGCTTTATTAGTTTACGTAGATGACATTGTCTTAGCTGATGTTGATATGGACAAAATTAATTCTGTCAAATGTGTCTCAGATACTAAATTCAAGATTAAAGATTTTGGTACTCTTTCACTTCTTTCACACCTTTATTAGTTTACGTAGATAACATTGTCTTAGTTAGTGATGATTTAGATGAAATTAATTTTGTCAAATGTGTAATGCACTCACCTAACAAAATATTTTTATTTACTACAACCCCCTTATTTTTTATAATTACCTAGGACCCCCCTCCCCTTTATATTATATTTTGGAACTTTGAATTATTATTAGATATTAAGGGAATTGTCATTGGCAGGATTCAACATTGTCTTAGTTAGTGATGATTTAGACGAAATTAATTTTGTCAAATGTGTAATCCACTCACCTAAACAAAATATTTTTATTTACTACAACCCCCTTATTTTTTATAATTACCTAGGACCCCCCTCCCCTTTATATTATATTTTGGAACTTTGAATTATTATTAGATTAAGGGAATTGTCATTGGCGGGATTCGAACCAAGTACTTGAGTTGGAGGTCGATACTTCAACCACTAAGCTATTAGGATATTATGATAATAACTTACAAATAAATTATATTTATATTTATACTGTGTAAATATATAAATATAAAATATATATAAATATAAAATATATTTATATTTATATTTATATTTTGATATATTTATATATTTATATTTATATTTATGTATTTATATTTATGTATTTATATTTATATTTATATTTATGTATTTATATAATTATGTATTTATATATATTTATATTTATATTTATATATTTATATTTATATATTTATATTTATATATTTATATATTTACACGAATAATTTATAAATTATTATTAGAATATCCTAATAGTTTAGTGGTTGGAGTATTAGTTTTCAACTTTAAGGTATTGGTTTGATTCTTGCTAGTGACAATTCTTTTAGGGTTTAATATAATTTACCTACGGATAATATCCGTAGGTAATGGATAACTTACATACAATTAAATATAATTTACCTACGGATTTTTATCAGTGGGTAATATCCGTAGGTAATGTAAAATTTACCTACGGATTTTTATCCGTAGATAATATTTTGTAGATAATAGACTTTTTTTTGTAGTGTAAACATCAGGCTAATCATAGACAATTGTATTATGATACTTCTGCTTATCGCAGATTAATCGGTAAACTGTTATTTCTCACACTTATGCGCCCTGACATTGCATTTTCTTTCGAGTAGGTTATTCAATTCATGGCTCAACCTCTTGATGTTCATTATAAAACTATCCTTCGGGTTCTTAGATACTTAAAAGGTTCATCTGCCCAAGGGTTATTTTTCTCTAGCTCTGTTGATATTCGTCTTTCTGCTTTTGCTTATTCGGACTAAGCCTATTATTTTGACACTCGCTGCTCGATCACCGGATTTTTTGTTTCCTTGATTCTTCTTTGATTTCCTAAAAATCCAAAAAGCAATCTACTATATCTCGTTCATCCTCCGAAGCAGAATATCAAGCATTAGTCAGTCTCACTTGTGAGATTCAATGGTTATATTTTTTTTTTGTGATCTTCATGTTTCATTAGGTCTTATTGTAGTCTATTATGACAATCAGTCTGTCATTTATTTAGCTCATAATATTGTATTTCATTAATGCACTAAACACATCGAGATCGACTGTGATGTGGTTCTTGAGAAAATTCAACAAAACCTAATTCATATTTTTTCTGTTTTGTCTTCCAACCAGCTTGCAGATACTTTTACTAAACTTCTTCATCATACATACAATTTTTGCCAATTCTATATATAAGTTGGGTTTTTGTGACATCCATGATCCAACTTGAGGAGGAATATTAACATAATTATTTTTCTATAACTAATCATATTTTTCCCCTTTTGTATTATTTTTAGTTATGACAGATTCTTTCATTTACGTTCTACAATATTTATATTGTACTTCTTTTTAGAATGAATTTTTTTTAATAAAAACATAAATTTCATCTTACATAAACGATCAGATATCAAGATAAGTTTAAAAGCAAAAAGAACATACTGGAGTGTCATTAATTGGTCTTGATAACTTTATATATATATAAAAGTTCTTACAAATGTCCATTTGTACATCATGATCCAACTTGAGGAAGAATATTAACATAATTATTTTTCTATAACTAATCATATTTTTCCCCTTTTGTATTATTTTTAGTTATGATAGATTCTTTCATTTACGTTCTACAATATTTATATTGTACTTCTTTTTAGAATGAATTTTTTTTAATAAAAACATAAATTTCATCTTACATAAACGATCAGATATCAAGATAAGTTTAAAAACAAAAAAGAACATACTTGGAGTGTCATTAAGCTGGTCTTGATAACTTTATATATATATAAAAGTTCTTACAAATGTCCATTTGTACATCCATGATCCAACTTGAGGAAGAATATTAACATAATTATTTTTCTATAACTAATCATATTTTTCCCTTTTTGTATTATTTTTAGTTATGACAGATTCTTTCATTTACGTTCTACAATATTTATATTGTACTTCTTTTTAGGATGAATTTTTTTTAATAAAAACATAAATTTCATCTTACATAATCAGTCAGATATCAAGATTAGTTTAAAAGCAAAAAAGAACATACTGGAGTGCCATTAACTGGTCTTGATAACTTTATATATATATAAAAGTTCTTACAAATGTCCATTTAAATATCTGAAGTTAGAGCATATCTAATTAACCTTTTATGAGTCATCGAGCTTCCAACATGGAAACCGTTACATCGTTGCTTGGAGATGTGTATTTCTCATTTGAGTATAATTCTTCTTCAACTGAAACATTTTTCGTAATAAAACCAGGTTCTTTAGGCTTAACCAATTCCATGCGACTCTCCAACATTAGAATAACCGAAGCCATTGCGGGCCTGTCTTCTGGGTACTGATGCACACACAAAAGACTACTATGGAGGCAACGCAGTACTTCTGATACACTGCATGACTCTTTTATCTTTGGGTTAATCAACTCTAATGCCCTACCCTCTTTCCATATTCTCCATGCCTGCAACATCATCGTCATAATAATAATAATAAAATAAAACAGAATAAAAGAAAAATAATTGCATATTTCAATTAGACACACACAAATTCAAAACAGATTGAAGCCTTGCATGACCAACGAGATTGAGATTCTTATCTGTTTGATAAAGTCTTCTATTTTTCTTGCCACATACCATCTCCAAGACTAAAATACCAAAGCTAAACACATCAGATTTCACAGAAAATAACCCATCAACAGCATACTCTGGTGCCGTGTACCCACTGCAAGACGTAAATTATATCAGGAACTACTCACATATATTTTTGTAAAAGAGAAAAATGGAGTTGGTTAAGGACAAACTCATTAGGTCTCAACTGTTAGGTAAACATTAAATGCATGTAGTTGAGAGGTAGAGGTTATAGAGGTAGTAGTTGTATTGAATGTATGTAGTTGAAAGGTAGTAGTTGTATTAAATGTATGTAGTTGAGAGACCATATCCAAAGGTCTATAAATTGACCATGTACCACTCATTGCAAAAATCATCAAGTGATAATATACAGAGTGTTTTATTTAGATACTTGTATGTCAACAAATTGGTATCAAAGTTTGAGAGCCTAAGTGTCTAAGTGCGTTAGAAAGAGTGTTTGAGAGTTAGAGAGTTTGTTCGAGATTGTCAACTTAGCTAACAGCATGCCCCTGCCAAAGTTATTAAAAGGCGTAAACTATGATAACTGGAGCCTGCAAATGAAGGCTCTCATTGGTTCCCAAGAAGTATGGGATGTGGTCGAAAATGGGCACCAAGAACCAGAGAATATTGAAGAGCAGAGATTGCCCAGCTTGCTGCATTGAGAGAAACATGAGTAAAGGACAAAACGGCTTTGTACGTGCTGTACCGAGCTGTTGAAGAGTCCGACTTTGAGAAGATAGCAAATGCTAAATCTTCAAAAGAAGCGTGGGATATTCTGGATAAGGCATATAAAGGGGACAATCGTGTGAAGCAAATCAGACTTCAAACTCTTAGAGGCGAGCTTGAAAGCATGAGGATGAAAGAGGTCGAAGGGGTTGCCGAGTACATCTCCCATGTTGAGACCGTGGTGAATCAACTCGGAAGAAATGGAGAGACACTGCCCACTTGCCAAGTGGTGGAGAAAATCTTAAGGTCGTTAACTGACAATTTTGAGAATATTGTTTGTGCAATAGAAGAGTCCAAGGACTTGTCAGTGCACTCAGTGGAAGAGCTTGTCGGGTCGCTTGAAGCGCATAAGCAGCGGAGAAGGAAGAAGAAAGAGGAGTCCCTTGATCAAGCACTCTAAGCAAAGGTAACCTTAAAGGAGAAGAAGATTCCTTATGCTCAGAACACTCAAGGCCGAGGTGGTAGAGGCAGAAGAGGATATGAAAGAGGTAAGGAGAAAGTCAGTCAACAAAACTAGCGTGACCGAAGACAAGGTAGAGGTCATGGCGGTAGAGGCCGAAGTGGTCAGTCAAGCAATTTCGAAGTTGAGTGCTTCAAATGTGGGAAGTACAGTCATTTTGCTAAGGACTGCTATTCAAGTATCAAATATTATAATTGTGGGAAGGTTGGGCATTTTGCGAAGGACTGCTGATTTGAGAGAAAGAAGGAAACAAATCTCCTCTCTGAGGACGCTGAGGAAGAAGGAGTATTGATGATGTCGAGAAGTTTGGATGTCGAGCTAAGTCTGAGTTGTTCTGACAACTCGGTTTGGTATCTTGATACAGGAGCAAGTAACCACATGTGCGGGAACGAGAACTTTTTTAAGGAGCTCACTAAAGTTAAGGTCGGACACGTGTCATTTGGAGATGCATCAAAGGTGGCAGTAAAAGGCAGAGGTACAATCTGGTACCTGCAGAAGAATAGTTGAATTAGAGAAATCAGAGACGTGTACTATGTACCCGATCTCAAAAGCAACATATTGAGCATGGGCCAGCTGATGGAGAAAGGCTACTCGGTTCTGATGAAAGACCGAGTACTATACCTGAAGGACAAGTCGGATCGTTTGATTTCCCGAGTAGAAATGAAGAAGAACAAAATGTACAAGCTGGACTTGAAGATAGTCCAAGAGAGGTGTTTGAAACTTGACGTGAAGGATGAAGCAATGATGTGGCACTTTCGGTTTGGCCACTTGCATTTTGGCGGGCTGACCGAGTTGGTAAAGAAAGAGATGGTGCGAGGACTCCCGTCTATGGAATTTAAAAAGAAATTTTGTGAAGAGTGTGTGCTCGGGAAGCATCCAAGGACCTCATTTCCAAGAACGACCGAGTATCGTGCAAAGGAACAATTTGGATTGATTCACACAGATCTTTGTGGACTGGTTACCCCTGAGTCCTTCAGTGGGAAAAGGTATTTCATTTCTTTTATAGATGATTTTTCAAGAAAAACTTGGGTATATTTTTTAAAGGAAAAATCTGAGGTGTTTGAGGTGTTCAAGAGATTTAAAGCAATTATTGTCTATCAAATCTGTTAGGTATGATCGAGAAGGCGAGTTCATTTTATCCGACCTCATGAAGTATTGCGAGGAGCAAGGGATAAGGAGATTTCTGACAGTACCATACTCACCCCAACAAAACGGAGTTGCCGAGAGGAAGAATCGAACCATTCTTGACATGGTTCGAATAATGTTGAGAAGCAAAAACGTGTCAAAGGAGTTTTGGGCAAAAGCAGTGCAATGTGTCATCTATGTGCAAAATAGATGTCCACATGCTAAGCTGAACAAGAAGACACCGCAAGAAGTCTGGAGTGGAAGAAAATCGAGTGTGTCTCACCTTAAAGTGTTCGATAACATAGCTTATGGTCATGTTCCAGCTCAACAGAGGACCAATCTCAAAGATAAAAGCAAAAAGTACATGTTTATTGGGTATGATGAAAAAACCAAGGCGTACAGGTTGTTTAACCCAATAACTAAGAATGTCATTATGAGTCGAGATGTTCAAATTGATGAAGAAAGCGAGTGAAGTTGGAACAACCCGGAGAAGGAGTCCATAGGAAGTAGAAGCTCAAAAGTTGATACACCACATACTGTGAGAGATCATGAGACTTTTGATGAAGAAGATGAACCTCTACAGCTCAGAGCGCGAAGTTTACAAGATATATACAACTCCACTGACGAAGTGCATGTTGTATGTCTCTTGGCAAATTTAGAAGACTTAAGTTTTGAAGAGGTCATGCAGGAGAAAAGGTGGAAAAAGGCAATGGACGAGGAGATCAGGGATATATAACGCAACAACACATGGGAGCTGACTTATTTGCCCAAAGGAGCGCAACCTATTGGCGTAAAGTGGGTGTACAAGAAGAAGACAAATGCTGAAGGAGAAGTTGAGCGATATAAAACTCGACTCGTAGTGAAGGGGTACAAGCAGAAGGAAGGAATAGATTATGACGAAGTATTCACCCCAGTGACGAGAATGGAAACAATTAGGCTGTTGATTTCCTTAGCAGCTCAACACAGATGGACAATCTTGCAGATGGACGTGAAGTCGGCATTTTTGAATGGAATCTTGGAGGAGGAAGTATATGTTGAACAGCCACTCGGATACATGTGAAGAGGCGAAGAGAAGAAAGTGCTGAGATTGAAGAAGACACTTTATGGCTTGAAACAAGCTCCACGAGCATGGAATGAAAGAATTGACACTTACTTCAAAAGGAATGGATATGAGCAGTGTCCTTATGAACATGCTCTATACATAAAGAAGAAAGGAGAAGATGTGATGTTTGTTACCCTATATGTTGATGACCTTATCTTCATGGGGAATAATGTCGAGTTGATTGAAGAGTTTAAAGAAGTGATGAAGAAGGAGTTTGAGATGACTGACTTGGGTCTTATGAAGTATTTCCTTGGTTTAGAAGTTGTTCAAGGAAAGAGTGACATCTTTGTGTCACAGGAAAGGTATGCTGAGGAGATCTTGAAGAAGTTTAAGATGACAAGTTACAACCCGGTTTCCACCCCTATGGAACATGGTACAAAACTTTCTAAGTATGCAGATGGAGACCGAGTTGATGCGAGCAAATATCGAAGTCTGATTGGAAGTCTTAGGTATCTTACAAATACCAGACTAGATTTAATGTTAAGTGTTGGAATAGCAAGTCGATATATGGAGGAGCCAAGGTATACTCATTGGAAGGCACTAAAGAGAATTCTAAGGTATGTGAGAGGAACAATGTCACTTGACCTAATATATACTAGGACAGATGATTATCGACTAGTAGGCTACTCAGATAGTGACTGGTGTGGAAATGTTGATGACCGGAAAAGCACGTCTGGATATGTATTCTTCATGGGAAACACAGCATTCACCTGGCTTTCAAAAAAGCAGCCCATTGTAACGTTGTCAACTTGTGAAGCCGAGTACGTTACAGCATCCTGGAGTGTCTATCATGCAGTTTGGCTTAGAAACCTTCTAAGCAAGTTGGAGTTGAAGCAAGAAAAAGGGACTGTAATTCGAGTTGATAACAAGTCGGTCATTGAATTGGCAAAGAACTCGGTCAATCATGAGAGAAGCAAACATATTGATGTTCGGTTTCACTTCATCTGAGAACAAGTGAAAGAAGGAAATGTGGAGTTAAAGCACATTAGAACCCGGGCACAAGCTGTAGATATGTTCACGAAGTCACTGTCAACCATTCTATTCGAGAACAACAAGAAGATGCTTGGAATGAAGGACAAAAAAAACATTTAAGTTTATGGGGGGATTTTGTTAGGTAAACATTAAATGCATGCAGTTGAGAGGTAGTAGTTGTATTGAATGTATGTAGTTGAAAGGTAGTAGTTGTATTAAATGCATGTAGTTGAGAGGTCATATCCAAAGGCCTATAAATTGACCATGTACCACTCATTGCAAAAATCATCAAGTGATAATATATAGAGTGTTTTATTTAGATACTTGTTTGTCAACACCAACTACTCTACTTGTGTTTCCTTCAATCTGGTTGCCTCCAAAAATTCTGGCCAGTCCAAAATCTGATATTTTTGGACTTAAATATTCATCAAGAAGAACGTTACTTGCTTTGAGATCTCTATGGATAATCCTCAAGCGGGAATCTTGATGAAGATACATAAGCCCTCTTGCAACTCCACAGATTATTTGGAAGCGCTGAGGCCACTCTAGCAGATTACTTTTTGTATCATCTGTTTTATTGAAGCAAAAAAGTTATTAAACATCGAATCATCAATTAGTAATCTGCTTATAGCAACCAAATCTTTGCTTTGTTGGTTATTCATACCAAATATGAAGGAGTCTAGGCTGCCATTAGCCATGTACTCATAAACTAGCATTTTTTTCTTGTCCTTCAATGCAACAACCATGAAGTTTTACTAGATTTCGATGCTGAAGCTTTGCAATCAATTTTACTTCGTTTATGAACTCAGACACTCCTTGATAGAGTCTTTACGGCAATTTCAGGATTATGAGTTAATGTTTTGCATCAATATTATATTCCTTTGTTTCAGGCACTAGACTCAGATTACCTTATATACAGGTCCAAAACCACCTTCACCAATCTTATTTTCTATGGAGAAGTTATTAGTGGCAGTTGCAATTGTGAATAGATCAAACAATTGGACATCCAGATCATCCACTTGTTTTCACTACAAAAAAACGCTTATTATCTACGGGTAAAATCCGTAGGTAATGACAAAAATCCGTAGGTAATGTCACTTTACCTACGGATTTCTTTTCGTAGAAAATCCGTAGGTAATGCACTCGCAGTAATTACCTACGGATTATAATCCGTAGGTAATGCACTTACCTTAACAAAATATTTTTATTTATTACAACCCCCTCCCCTTTATATTATATTTTTATTATTTATTATATTTTCGAAACTTTGAATTATTATTAGATTAAGGGAATTGTCATTGGCGGGATTCGAACCCAGTCACTCGGAATTGGAGGCTGATACTCCAACCACTAAGCTATTAGGTTATTTTGAAAATAATTTACAAATAAATTATATTTATATTTATCCAGTGTAAATATATAAATATAAAATATATATAAATATAAAAAAAATATATAAATATAAAATATATATAAATATAAAATATATTTATATTTTGATATATTTATATATTTATCTATTTATATATTTATGTATTTATATATTTATGTATTTATATATTTATGTATTTATATATTTATGTATTTATATATTTATATATTTATATATTTATATATTTATATATTTTATATTTTATATTTTATATTTATATATTTATATATTTATATATTTTATATTTATATATTTATATATTTATATATTTACACGAATTAATATAAGTATAATTTAGTTGTAAATTATTATTAGAATATCCTAATAGTTTAGTGGTTGAAGTATCGATTTTCAATTTTAAGGTACTGGATTCGATTCTTGCTAGTGACAATTTTTTAGTTTAATATAATTTATCTACGGATAATAATTCCGTAGGTAATTACCTACGAAATTACCCACGGATGATATTACCTACGGAAAATATCCGTAGGTAATGGATAATTACTCACGGATAGAATTCCGTAGGTAATGTACACTTTACCTACGGATAGTAATTACGTAGGTAATTACCTACGGAATTATCCACGGATTACATTACCTACAGATAATATCCGTAGGTAATGGATAATTACCTACGGATAGAATTCTGTAGGTAATATCCGTAGGTAATGTACAATTTACCTATGGATTTTCATCCGTGGGTAATATCCGTAGGTAATATCCGTAGGTAATGGATAATTACCTACGGATAGAATTCCGTAGGTAATATCCGTAGGTAATGTACAATTTACCTACGGATTTTCATCCGTGGGTAATATCCGTAGGTAATGTAAAATTTACCTACGGATTTTTATCCGTGGGTAATATCCGTAGGTAATGTAAAATTTACCTACGAATTTGTATCCGTAGGTAATATTCCGTAGGTAATAGGCTTTTTTTTTGTAGTGTTTTGGTATTCTCCTGTCAGTGATTTACCTAAAAACCGATGAAGGCCTTTAGTAATGTAATAAAAATATGGAGGGAATGGGAAATAGTTAGAATAAGAAAATTTAGTCTGTACAATATAAACAACTTGTTATACTCGATCGACCTGGTCGAATTAATGAAATACAATGGCATGGAAAATGTTAATTGACATGCACTTTGTTGTTGCATGATGATTAAGCCATGAGAATTTCAGATTACAGTATATATAGTTTAAGAAGTTTGTGAAGAAACTGCAATAATAAAATAAATTTGCTCTCTGCAGATTCAAGAGAGTAGAACTTTCAATTTATTATATATATATAGGGAGTGAAGAAACAAAATCAAATCCAGTAAAGGAAATAATTTCCTAATTAGCTTTCCAAATAAATCCTAGGATCTAAGAGGTTGAGATGAAGGTTTAATTAATATCATAATAATTAGCTTTCATGATCAACACTCCACTCAAATTACTAAATGTTTTTTTATTCTCAACCTAACTATATGGTGTCATGAAAACCAAAGTTGTTCAACCAATTGTTGTTAGGATGGAACAGGAGGAATGCACACCAAACTCTCCCCCAACTTAATGAAATATGCATCAATTCAATATCCTTTTCTCCTATTTGCGCACGACTATATATACAAGCCTTGTTCAACTTTTCTGATACCATGTGAAGAAACTATAATGATAATATTATATTAGTTTGTTTTCTATTCAAGTCTCAGTACATAAAAACGTGAAAACATGATGATAGGATATAATATTAAATAAAATGAATCCTAAAAAGGAACCAGTTGACAGATGAACTATCTAAATAAATACCCAGAAGTATGAAACTGCTTGTTGACTATCTTAATAATTATATTTATAGCAAACACTATTCTAAATAATTATATTTACAGTTTCATTTTGACAACTCTACGAAGTTATATATAGAAAAGTTGTACATGTAACCCAACAAATATATTTTAGATAAGTGCAATCGTGTATTCAGTAAAACTGTGTATAAACAATTATTTACCAGCATTGTTCCTCCGTATTCTGTAGATATAATAAGAACTAAGCAATAGGATACCACAAATTGCTGCAACGGTGGAAGCAACTACTGTCAGCGTGTTCTTCTTGTGCCTATAAACAGAATCTGGATGGTTGAAACGGATAAAGAAAAGCTAAGTTAAGTTTCTGTTAGTATTTTGGAAGTGGATTGGAGTAAAGGAAGGCAAATGTTTTATTTGAAATGAAAAAAGCTTATGTGGAAATGTTTAAAGAAGAAAGTTCAAACTTTACTTTGTAGTGGTTTTGTAAATATGTCTCCTACTCATTCTTTTGTTTAGTAAGGGCTATTAAAACTATAATTGTATGCGAGTAATTGATGGTTTTCTTCCACTCCAAGATTTAATAGGAATCTTATATTTTTTAGAATTTGACTTATTATTATATTTATATCTATATATATTTATATATTTTTATTTTTACATATATTTATATCTTTACATATTTATATATTTATATCTTTATATCTTTATATATTTATATCTTTATATATTTATATATAAAGATATAAGTTTTATATACAAATAATATTATAATATAGTATATTATACAACATATTAGTATAATATAGTATACAAATTATTAGTTTTGTAATTTATACACAACTTAATTTATATATAATAAAAATAATATAATGACATATTAGTATAGTATAATATATTTGTATTCTAATTTTTTATTAAACTAAAATTATACTAATAATATATAATAATATACGAGAGATAATAAATTTAATCCAATTACTTTTATAAATATATAAATATAAAATCTATAAATCACAAATATATTTATATACTTTAATATTGATATATTTAAATATTGATATATTTATATATTTATATATTAACATATTAATATATTAACATATTTATATATTTATATATTGACATATTTATATATTTATATATTTATTTATGTCTTTATATATTTTTATTTTTATACATTTATATATTTAAAAAAATAAAATTTAAATATTAAATTTTAAAAATAATATTATATTTTTAAAAATAAATATTAGAAAAAGATTTTAAAATATATATAAATTATATTAACATGTACAAAAATATTAAAGATATATATTTATATTTTTACATATATATATTTATATATTTATATATCTATATATTTAAATATCTATATATTTATATATCTATATATTTATATCTTTTTATTTTTACATCTTTATATATATTTATAATTTTATATATTTATATATTTATATCTATATATATATATATATATATTTATATATTTATATATTTATATATTTATATATTTATATATTTATATATTTATATATTTATAAAATCTATAAATACAAATATATTTATATTTTTAAATATTGATATATTTATATATTTACATATTTATATATTAATATATTAATATATAATATATATTTGTATATTTGTATATTTATATATTTGTATATTTATATATTTGTATATTTGTATATTTATATATTTATATATTTATATATTTGTATATTTATATATTTTTTGATATCTTTATATCTTTATATATTTATATATTTATATATTTATATATTTATATATTTATATATTTATATATTTATATATTTATATATTTATATATTTATATATTTATATATTTATATATTTAAAAAATGAAAAATTTAAATATTAAATTTTAAAAATAATATTATAATTTAAAAAACAAATATTAGAAAAAGGTTTAAAAATATACATAAATTATATTTACATGTACAAAATATTAAAGATATATGTTTATATCTTTTCATATTTATATATTTATATCTTTATATATTTATATCTTTATATCTTTACAATTTATATATTTATATCTTTATATATTTATACAATTATACATTTATATCTTTATATATTTATATATTTAAAAAAATTTAAAATATAAATATGAAATATTAAAAATGATATTATATTTTTAAAAACAAATATTAGAAAAAGGTTTAAAAACATGTATAAATTATATTTATATGTCTAAAATATTAAAGATATCCACATTTAAAAAAATATTAAAAAATATTAAAAATTATACTTTAAATTGATGAAAATATTTTAAAAAAAGTTATATTTACTAAAGTATTAAAAAATATTTTGTAATATATAAGTTAAAAAATTTATCATTAAATTTTTAAAAATTATTAGGTTTGTAGTTTATACACAATAAAAATAAATTACAAATATTATAATATAATGGTATATTAGTATAATATAATATATTTGTATTCTAATTTTTAATTAAACTAAAATTATGCTAATAATGTATAATAATATATGAGGAGATAATAT